AAAAAAAAAAGTCTGCAAATCATACAGATTTAAAGTAAGCTTGAAGCTCTTATAGTCTAAAATACATTTATCTGAAAATGAAAAAAATAAGTGTGAATTATTGTATAAAAACTCAATTGGTAATTCTTAAATAGATAATTATGAGTATAATTAAGGTGGCCTACACTACCATCATAGTACCAAAAAGTAAGTACTTGAAATTATTTAATGTACAAAATAGATGTTTTGTATTCTCCTTTCTATCAAGTTTGTCCAGATAAAATAGAGCCCACTTGAAATGTTTAATAAACAACATAAAGAAGTTCTTGGGGTCCTTTTAAACTAAATAGTTATTATATATGAATTGTAGGAAAACTGAGAAATGGAAATAGCCGATTGAACTTTAAACGAAGTCTTACCGATCTCAGAGGTTGTTGTTTGTCACTCTTCTCATTTCCATTCATGCCTGCACTCCATGGTCCTAGTACATAACACAACACAGCGCAGTGTTTTGCTTTTTTGTTTTTTCTTTTTTGGCTAATGTGGGAAGCTATGGAGATGTCAAAAGATGACTTCTCAAGAGATTTCTAAATCAGTATGGTCAAGAGTCTGTCCTTCTATCCTAGTCATTATTTAGGCCATTTCAATATCTTCTGCCATTGAACCAATTAAATAAGATTTGTAATCAGTTAGTTTTTAATTATAGTGATGATAAATTTTGTATATTTTTCTAAATAATGTATAAGAAAAATTACTTCAAAAGCTTGTTTTAGCAAAAGTAACAAAGAATCATGTCACTCATTAGAGCACAGAAAGAAAAAACTAAGATTTTAATCCTACCATTATATTCTTAGGAGCAGTTGGCCAAAAATATAACTTATTTCTTAATGTAGATTGCAAATTTTTATGTCTACCACATTGCATGGATTCCACAAAGATTAATTTTATATTATGGGTACTTCAAACACTTACTTATTAAACATCCGAAACTACTCCCACAGTGTGGACTCATGGGCACAAAGGAAGTAGAGTAGCATTGACTGACTGAAGCAGCCTCAGGAAGCAGACTCTGTGCTGTAACACAGCCAGTTAACAGTGATAACAGAAGATGATTCTGATCACTTTATGACTATGATAAAATTCTGTCATGGGACCTGTCCCTATTTCAGACTTTAATAAATATACGAAGAATATAGTATCTTGGTAGTATCTCAGTAAAATTGCTCTCTATGACAACAATTTTATCACACTGATCTTTTAGCTCTACCTACCAGATTAAGTGGGAAATAGTCATCCAAAATTTTCATTTAGGCAATTCTAATTTTTACCCTATTTTCAACAAAGAGATAAATATTCCACTTCATATGTTGTAGTTTAAATACTTGCATAGAGAAAAACAAAGCTTTGCATTGTTTCATTTTAACCAAAGATAAGAAATAAGGTTAAGAATTTGAGATCAAAATGAAAAATTTACAAAAAATATTTTCTGCCTTTGATCACAAAGATATTCGTGAAGAATGTTTTGTCCAAGATAGAAAACCACATAAGTATATTCACAACTGGTATATGTTGCCATAAGCAAAAATATTTGAATGCTTTCATTTTCCAACAGGTGTCATAAGTGTCTAAGAACAAAATATCTTTAAAAGGGAAAATAGCCAAACATACCATCCTTAGATATTCTAAGAAGTTAGGAATTAATGTTACATTTTTTATCAATGAAAAATAATATAAATTCCATTCTATGTTAGATCAGATGTTATTTACATATATTTCCCCTATTCCAGCATTAAAATTAATGGTCTTTGATATCTTTATTGTTCTACCTTTATTCTTTTTCATTTAGGTGCCTTGACCCAAGCCATTCGAAATTTTGCAAAAAGCCTTGAAGGTTGGCTTTCCAATGCCATGAACAATATTCCACAGAGAATGATACAAACCAAGGTATAAGTTATGTTAGCGTGTGGTGTGTGTGTGTGTGTGTGTGTGTGTGTGTGTGTGTATTTAGGAAACCATCTTTCAAGTAAAAAATTATCTCATAACTGATCTTTATATATAAGTGATAGAATATCATGCAGAACTGTAGCTATGGATGTTCCAGTCCAGAACTTTCCGTGATTGCTAGAGAATTCTACCTCCACATTATCTTCTCCTGGCATGTTACTGTGAGTTAATCTGTGAGCCTGTCTCCATAGAAAGACTGGACTGAAACTGTATTCTAACCTAAATTTAGAAATAAAAAACCACACTTGTGGCTTTTGGTAAGTGGCCATATCCACCACTCAACTCCAACAATGTATCTTGTCCTTCAGTTTGGGGAAAAAGTTAATATACTAAGGGTCTTATAGCTGACAAGGTGCTCTGAAGCCACAGGTAGCTCCCAGTTCTTTCTACTTTGGCTTAAACTTTCAATAAAGCTTTCTATCCCTAAAATATGTAGAAAGCAACATTTCACTGATATGTTGCCCTAGCATTGTGCTGCCAATATAATGGAGTCAACCATATTTATCTATATAAATTTTAATTTTAAATTAAAATGAAATAAATTATGATTTTTATTTCCATACTCACAATAGCTACATTTCAAGTGTTCAATAGCCCCATGTCGCTAGTGGCTACCATTGTACAGCACATATATGAGCATTTTCATCATCATAGATGGTTCTCTCTGTATGTTCTGTTGTTGAATACTACATTGAGGTAGGCAAAAAAAGAAGATGCTATAGCATAGTGTGGTACCACATGCCTATAACCCACAGGTCTGTAATGCCAGCACATTAGATACTGGAGCAAGAGGATCATGAGATCAAGGTTAGCCTGGGCTATATAGTAAGGTCAAGGGTATCCCCAACATCAAAAAAAAATAGAATATGCTCTTTTTTATTATATTTTATGATTTTTATATTTTTATGTGTATGCGTGTATTGCCTGCATGTAGGTAAGTGCACCAGTGTAGTGCAATGCCCGCAGAGGACAGAAGAGGCTGTCGGATCCCCTGGAACTGGAGTTTTGGATACTTTTTAGCTGCCATGTGGGTGCTGGGATTCGAACCCGGGTCTTCTGCAAGAACATTCAGTGTTTTTAACTGCTGAGCCATCTCTCCAGCCCCAGAAGATGCTCTTTGATTGTGATAGAAGAATCTTTCTAATTTGAAAAATCAGTTGTATTCATAACAATACCTCAAGTAACCTGAAAGCGGTTCCCTTCCCAGTGTCATCAGATTAAATGCTATAGCAACCTGCCTGCAACACTATCTCACTAATTTAAGGGTTAATCTGGGTGATTACCATTCGCAGGGTAACTTCTGCTCTTCTGTTGTTGCTCATATGCAGTTGTTTTCAGCTGAGTACTAAGCCAATGAAGACAGTTTGCCATGACTGTGGAAACAACTTTTTAGTGACTAGCAGTAGGGACTGGTTGCCCAGGTTTGTGTCTTACCACTTAAATGAGTTTCTGTGCCACCTCAAGGAAGCTTTTTAACCTCTATAAATCATAACTTGTTGAGATGATGGCAATTAAACAACTTAACCTGGTACCTGGTACATCATATATACTCGATGAATCTGAACTACAAAAATGGAAGCACATTTTTAAGTATATGTGAGCTTTCACTAATATTCCATTTAGGGCTAGCACAACTGTGTCAAATGAGCCACTTTAGCTCAGTCAACACATTCTTCTACTCAACCAGATGACTCCAGATACATGTTCCTTATGTACTCAAAACTTTAATGCAATAGTCTATATTCTTATTACTACGTTAAGAGTTTTAAGATATTTTTGAAAGATTAGAGCCATTATGTCTACTGTGTATGTAACGTTACCATAAAATCATGAGAATTAGCTATTTATCTAGAATTTATATGATCTTTGGTATCTTGCAACACAAACTAGTTCATTCAAGATCCCATTAATGGTCAACCACTAGGGGATGTAGCTCAGAGGTGGAGCAATTGATTAGCATGCTTGAGGTCTAAGGACCAATCTACCATAGTGAGCAAAAAGGAAAGAAAGAAAAGAAACAAATGGTTTATGCTTATGCAAAAGGTGTGGGGAATTACTGAAGAAAGCTTATTTCCAAAGATGTGAACAGAGTTGAGAAAGCCAAGGAGAAATGGTTTAGTAGCTCACAGCTAGAATAATGGGTATTTATCAAGGAGAGAGCACACTGTAGGGAATGAAACTCTGACAACTCTTCATTTCCTTTGGTCTCCAACTAGTACCTGTTCTTGATCAAATCTAACTGGAAGCCTAAGGACACAGGAGGAGTTAATGCCATTCAGGGCAGACTTCCTGGGAACAGAGAACAGTAGAGATGAATGGAAAGGAGATTTCTGAAGGGCAAATGGAAATTTACCACATCAAATTTAAAGAAACTTGGAGCTGGAAAGATGAATCTGTGATAAAGAACATTTTTGTTCTTCCAGAGGGCCCCAGTTTTGTTCCCAGGACCCACATGGTGGCTAACAACCATCTGTAACTCCAGTTCCAGGGAATCCAACCCCCACTTCTGGCCTCTGAAGGCATTGCACACATGGTGTACTTACATACATGCAGGCAGAACACTCAGACACATAAAATAAAAATAATGTTTTTTAGTTCAAAGAAAATTGAATTTTGAAAAAAAAAGTTCTTGTTACTGGTCTGATAAATTGATTGGGTAATAAAGGCTATGAAATTCTCATTTCACCTTAAAGTCCCCAGCTTATGAAATAAAAGTCATAGTGGTGAATCTGAATGATAGTACTATGAAAACTATTTTATTCAAGTAATAATATAGAACTTCATAGCTTGCTTTTCCAAATAAAAAGAAATGTTTTTATTTTTCTACTTTCTAGTTTTCCTAAAAAGAGTGGGAAAAAATGAAAGCCAAATTTTTTCTATGCTCTTAGATAAAATAACTTCTTGATGTAGCTGAGGAGTTACTTGTGAGACTAGTTTAATTAATGCTGCACTCAGATGTCAAAAAATGTGGGAGTTTGTTTTAGTTTTGACCTCGATATACACAAAAAGAAATAATTCTTTAAGAAATGTAAATGTTACATAATTTACAAGTAAACTCTTACCAAATGATTTTGAAATGTATCAAAGATTTAACTGATGTGAAACAATTTGAAGATTACAATGCTTTCTTTTATGAAAGGAAAAAAGAAAAACAATGCCCATCTCAGCTTCCTTGGGTTTCTATAGGTTGCCGCTGTAAGTGCCTTTGCCCAGACTCTGCGAAGATACACATCGCTCAATCACCTGGCCCAGGCAGCTCGCGCCGTGCTTCAGAACACTTCCCAGATCAACCAGATGCTCAGTGACCTCAACCGTGTTGACTTTGCCAATGTCCAGGTATTCTGTCATCTCAAAAATTATGTCTTTTAAATAAAGGTATCGATTAGTTCTTCTAAATTAGGAACATAACATCTCTTTTCAAAATCTGAAGTATGCACAGGTTGAAGCTATCTTCCAAATATCCTCAAAGAGGATGTTGTGCCCAGATATGACATTACTGAGCCTTTTATTGTAAATAAAGACAGCCAAAGTTTATTTTCCTAGAAAGCAACAGAATACATCATGAATTTGCTGAAGTGTTAAAAGGATAATAAAGATTAGAGGTACTGAAGTTAGGCAAGAAATTAAACTATTCTATATCTGTGAGAATTTGAACAAGTTACTCCACTACTCTGCATTTCATTTTCCCCACTGTAATGACGACCTCAGATCACTTATGTAATTTATGTATTCAGTAATGTATATATAGCCTTTGAAGCAGAGAGTTTTCTGTTATTACAGCAACCTACCTTCAAAGAACTAAGAACAACTCTATTTCAAAGTTTACTACAAAGTTTATTGTAGGTGCCTGGGAAATTTTGTTCACTTAAAGAATTAACTGAAGTAAGTTTGACTTTGATAGTCCAAAAAAAAATTCTCTAGCCTTATTTACTCTCATACATTACACTTGGAAAATTACAAATTTATTGGGGCTGGAGAGATGGCTCAGCAGTTAAGAGCACTGACTGCTCTTGCAGAGGACCCAGGTTTGGTTTCTAGCACCCACATGGTGGATAAAAACCATCCATAACTCAGTTCCAGGAGATCCAACTCCTCAGGCATTGCACAACATGAGTGCACTTACATACATGCAGGCAATACACTGATACACATAAATATTTTAAAAGAAAAATAATTTAATAATGACATAATAGAATTTTAACAAATATCTCATTTATAAAGCATAGCTGATTCTTATAATATAAAAGTGAAAAAATTTCTGCTCTAAAACATGAGCAATAACTAAAAATATGCCTAAGTTGGGGCCAAAGAGGTGACTCAGCAGTTAAGAGCATTGGCTGCTCTTGCAGAGGACCTGTGTTCAATCCCCTGCACCCACATGGTGGCTAGCAACCATCCATAACTCCAATTCCAGGGAATCCAATGCCCTCTTCTTTTTTTAAAAAAATGTTTTATTTATTATTTTTATTTTATGTGTATGAGTATATTGCCTGCATGTCTGTGAGTGCACCCGTGTCATCCAATGCTGTGGGAAGTCAGAAGAGGGCATTGAATTCCCCTAGAACTGGAGTTAAGGACAGTTCATAGCCACCGTGTGGGTGCTGGCAACTGAACCCAGGTCCTCTGCAAGAGCAGTGTTCTTAACCACTGAGTCATCTCTCCAGTCCCCCAGTGCCCCCTTTTGACCTCCACAGGCATTGCATGACAAAGGCACACTTACAAACATGCAGGCAATACATTCATACATAAAATAATAAATAAAATGTTTTAAAAATATATCTAAATTGAACAAAATCCAAATTTTACATGTTTGGAGTTCAAAAGAGTCCATCAAGAAATGTGAGGAGAATGTTAGACTCCTATCTTTTAAATAACTTGTACATAGAGTATATAAAGGGCTATTGCAACTCATTATTTTAAAGACTACCTGATTTGAAATGGCAAAAACATCTAAATAGACATTTCTCTAAGGAAAAGAGACAAGTGGCCAATAAGCATTCTTGTGCTTAACACCATTAGCCACCAAGGAAATGCAGTTTAAAACCTTAAGGAGATACCATTTCATGCACACTAAAATGGATATGATCAAAAGACAGAAAATATCAGTTTTTGTCCCTGGAGAGCTGGAGAAATTAGCATTTCACACACTGCTGATGATGGGAATTAAAAGTGCCACAACCACTTGAGACAGTCTGACATTTCCTCAAAAAGATAAGCATAAAGTCACCATATGACTGAACAGTTCCACTTCTTGGTATATAGCCAAGTAAATGGAAATTGTCCACACAACAGCCTAGCGGAGTTGAGTGATCCTAGCTGAAGTGCTTGAGAAATGTTTGGGTGTTTTGAAATTTTGGAACATTTAATAGACTTTACAACATGATTATTCATAATCCAAAAATCTGGACACCAGAATGTTCCAAAACACAAAAATTTTGAGCATTCAACATTCTCAGTGTTTTCCAAATTTTGGATCTTCGGGTTGAGAGGCCCAGCCTATGTTACACCATTGTTCGTATTAGGCAGGCATAAGGGGAAACAACTCAAAATACATTGACTAATAAATAAACAAAATGTTATTTATCTATGCAATGGACTATTAGGAGTAATAAAAGGAACTTAAACCTTGATTCATATCACAATCTTGATAAGCCTTGGCAAAATTATGCTAGTTCAGTGAAAAAGCTGGTTGCATACTTCCATCTATATGAAGTGATGTGAATGAGTGACAGAGACTTGTGGCTGCATCATGGTGGGGATTTGAAAGACTGGGAGATAACAAATAAAATGGGTGTAGAGCTTCTTTGGGGGAAAATGAGAAAGGTTTTCATTGATTTCAGTTAGAGATGCTCAACTCTGAGTAAACTAAAGGTAGCTTTAAATAATAAACTTTCAATGGGTAAGTTTACAGTGTAGCTATTAAAATAACATTTTGTAAAAAAAACTAATTATTAACTACTTATATTTATAAGAAATTTTAATCTCTACATCATGTCTAGCTTTATTATTTAATAATAAATACTAATATTCAAGCTTGGACAAATAAGTTTGTTGTGTTCATTCATTGTGACTTTCATGAATTAGGCTTAAATTTCTGATATATACTTTTTCAGTTTCTTTTCCATCTATCTGTCTGTCATCTATATGTATACAGACAGACTGGTTACATTTTTACCTAAACACATAACCTTTACCATAACAAACTGTCTTGGGTTTACAACACCATTTACTTTACATATTTCAAAAGATTTACAAGAACTCATTTGCTAAGAATATTGTAAAATTATATTTCTTTAAAATCTGTACTTTTAGTATTTATTTCAAATATTCATTTTAAAAAGATATATGTAAAAAGGACCTTAAGAAAAGTTAAGGTAAAACAACTTTGAAGTCAAACTGGTAAGACAACTCCCAGTTTCTAGATGTAATTTCAGCTTAGTAACAGAAAATACTAATTTCAATTAATATTTGAGGAAGATTATTAATATTCTCTTAGCATTTTTTCATGTCTGTTTATGTGCTGTGTTGAATCAAATGTGTATACAAAGGAGTTCTTCCTTGCTCATAAACATTGCTCTTGAGGACATTGCTGTATATAAATGGTCAAGTATGTGTCTACTATTTATCCTGTACTCAGCAACTTTGAGATTACCCTTTCTCTTCCGTTATGGTCAACTGTCAAGGTGTTCTGTGTCCATCATTACAGTCATTAGTGCTGAAACCTATATGATTAAGCATCTCCTCTTAAAAACAACTTTCCTTTCCTTGGAAGACCATAAACATAGTGGTTAGCCATTCATTTCACCTACATTTTACTTCCTTGTTCATTTTAATGACTGCTCGACTTAGCATATTTCCTGTTTAACCTCCTTGTGTCTTTTTTTGTTCCAAGCTTAGACAGGTTTCCTCAGGGTACCCTGTTTCCCATTCCATCTTGCATCACTTTCTCTGTCCATTTGGAACTTGCCACTGCCTCTTCTAAGATTAACCTCTATAAGACTGACAAATAAAAGGGTCAAATTCTTACAATAAAGAAACTTCAGTTTGAAACAATGAAATTACATATGGAAATATTCCAGCATGCTAAGAGGGTGGAAGTTCCTTTCAGGATATCTCTAAATCTGTTCTTACTACTTCATTCTCTTCTCAATAAGTCCTTGTTTCTTTGTATATTCAAGACAACTTTTCTATTGCAACTTAATTGGCTTTCTTTCTTAATTAATTCATAGTGTTACAATGGTGCTGTTCTTGTATAAATTTTCTTGTATAAATCAATTTTCATTCACATTATAGATTAAATAGGTTTGGGTGTCCTGACCTGATAACCTGATCATTCAGTATTTGAATTTCTATATTTAAAATGCAGTGTAATTTTGAAGTTCCTTGCTATTTACCATCTTGGATATTATTTTTATATAAGCTAAAACATCTTTAAATGTTTATTTTTAGCTTTTTCAGTTATAAAATTAAAATATCTGAATTCTTTTAAATATTGTATTTATTTTATTTTTATTTTTTATGTGTATGAGTTGATTGCATGTGTGTAAGTACACTCATGTCATGCAATGCCCATGGAGGTCAGAAGAAGGCATCAGATCCCCTTGAACTGGAGTTATAGATGGTTTGTTAGCTGCCGTATGGGTGCTTGGGAATTGAACCTGGATCTTCTGAAAGAGCAGTAAATGCTTTTAACTACTGAGCCATCTCTCCAGGCCCAAAATACCTGAATCCTGGTCACAAAGAAATATTTACAGTGTAAACTATACTGTCAGTGTGTATTCTAGAGACAAAGTAAAATAAAGTATAATACGAAAGTCTTTGAAATCCATGTTATTAAGCTGTGCTCTTCTCTAAATTAGGTTTTAGATTATCATCCTATCTTGACAAAAAACATCTTCAGATAAATACTGAGTTTGATTGAGGGGGTAAGAAATGAAATTACTCCATGGATATCTGTAAGTTCCTCATCCTAGTATTGGCATACAAACAAAAACAACCTCCTTACATGGGGGATATTTTTTATTTGCAAAATGAAAAGGTTCTAGAATTTTGCTGTCTAACAGGTTCATATAAGTAACATTACTGTATGTATACAGAGAAGGGTTTAGTGAAAAAAAAAAACAAAAACACTTAGACACCTCACTGTGTAACTATTATGGTGCTTTAAATTCTTCTCTGGGAACTCATGGACTCTTAAACTGACTTAAAATTTCCAGGAAACATTTGACAATATTAGAAATTTTAACTGTTCTTATATAAATCTATCAGGTTGAAATAAGTAAAAATGTAAACAAAATGTAGTGAACAAGTTTTCAATTACAGCTTTATTCCAGTAAAAAATTAGAACAAATAAATATATAATTATATAGAATTGATCATATAAATCATAATATATGCATGCAATAAAATAAATTCACTTACTGAACAATAAATTTCTATATTTGCCTATGTGGGAAAATAGTTTTATATCATTAACAAGCAGAATACTACATAGAACATATTATATGATCCTCTTCTATTTTAGTTATTTACATATGCATAAACATAAATAAAAATAAAAACAAATGATGTGTAACTATGAATAAGCATATAATAAATATATTAAACATAACATGTATGCATAAATAATATAGCATATGCATGTGGTGTGCTTTATATGAGTGAAAAACTTGAAGGATACGCTGTAGCTATTTTTTAGTGCTACCCTCTTAGAGAGTCTTATTTCTTTTTTGTTATTCATATTTTTTCTATATTCACACTTCAGTGTCTTTACAATTGGTATTTAGAGGGTAACAACTGAAAGTATTTATGATTAATGAGATAAAAGAAAAGAGGATAGTAGATGGTATCATCACCTGAGATGGAAGAGAAGCTGCAAGTTTCCCTGGAGAACTGAATGCATTGATTTGGGAACAGTTTGCATTTGAAACGCCTCTAGGTTGGAATGACCCTTGAAGAGAAAAATCTGTGGGATCAGGAGAGACGCTGGAACTAAAGGGATGAAATCATAGATTTATTGAAATTGTGAATTTGAATCAACTTATTCTCTAAGAGTATGTAGAATAAAGGCCATAGACTCTTTTCAGGAAAATTTCACTTACCTATTTTATGCATAGGGTAACGGAGACTCACACAGAACAAATAAATTGTTTAAAGTCAGTTTGGTAAATTAGGGCCTCAGTTAAAATCTCTGTCTTTCGACTGTCAAGTAACATGTTACCAAATAATTACGTTTTGATCTTGAGGAACAGATTATTTTTTCTTTTTATCTTAAAATACAGCATGACGCAGGAAACATCATAAAACTTAGACCACCACAGAAAAATAACTTTAAAAGTTCCTATTTTTGTTGCTGTCACCAAACATGAAACTTCCCAACCAGAAGCAGAAGGGAAATTACAGTAATCAAGTTTCTTGGCAGGTAGCATGTCTGCATTTTCTCAAAAGAGGTTTTGTTGTTGTTGTTTTCAGTTCTGTGAATTAATTTGCATTTGTAGTTTTGCCTTGATAGCCCTTGAGGTTTCTGTTCCCGATTGGTAAACTCACACAGCATATGTTTCTACCTAGTACCATTCAGTGTTTGTTTTTGTGTTAATCTTGAGGGACCACTTTTGGCCAATTGAATCCATTTATTCTTCTTGACTTATTCTAAGTCTTCTAAAATGGCTTTAAATTTTTATCTGTTAAGTGTGGGAGAAACTTTAAAGCAGTATAAAACTAGGGGGAAAAACAGCCCCTTGCAGGTTCAGGCATCTGCCTTCCTTAAGAATTTCTCCTTTCTCACAAAGCCTAGCCAATATAGAAAAAAGTCACCACACCACTTCACAGGATGAGCAAGGACAAATACTAAACCCCTAAAGCTGGCAGTATACTTAATTGCTGACAAGTATTTGTTAATGTCTTAATTCATTTAAATTAACTCTTTGAAGTTTTCTTTTATTAATACATCCCCTCCTGCATCTAATATGTGTGCTGACACTCAGTGCAAAGCTGCAGAGTTTAACTTTTCAACTGTGACCTGTTGCAGGAGCAGGCTTCCTGGGTGTGCCAGTGTGATGACAACATGGTTCAGAGACTAGAAACAGACTTCAAGATGACGCTTCAGCAGCAGAGCACACTGGAGCAGTGGGCCGCCTGGCTGGACAACGTGATGATGCAAGCACTGAAGCCCTATGAAGGAAGACCCAGTTTTCCTAAGGCCGCCCGGCAGTTTCTGCTAAAATGGTCTTTCTACAGGTAGCATTATAATTGTCCCTGAATTTTTTTCAAGTTCTGAAAATGTTTATACGCATGCTTTCAGATCAAAGAGAAGAAGTGAGTTTGAACTTTGGACTCTGCGATTCAGTGACTACAGTGCAGGGAAATGAACCAGGAAATTTATGGAAACGAACGTTTTGCTGGGAAAGGAAACACTTGCTCAAAGCCTCCAAGTTTTCAGATAGTATCTGAGAGTCCGTCTAGATGATTGGTTCAGCAGCAGTCAGATAAGGTCTAGAGGCCTCCCTTTTGCCCCTACCTTATTGAGGATGCTTTCCTGCAGGCTTAACACCACTCTTCTTTTGCTCTCTCTTCAGTGATCCTCAAACTCTGGTCATGAGACCAGTAGCATCACAGCCACTTAGACATGTTATAAGAGCAAATGGTTAGGGTCCCTCCTCTGTATCTACTGGAATCACAATCCATGGAGGAAAAGCCTAGCAATCTGTGCTTTAAAGTTCTCCAAGGAAAGCTGGCTGTAGTACTGAGCGCCTTTAATCCCAGCACCTTAGAGGCAGAGGCAGGCAGATCTCTGTGAGATCCAAGTCAGCCTGGTCTATATAGCAAGTTCCAGGCCAGCTGGGGCTACAAGGAAACCCTGTCTCAAAAAACAAAAACAAAATTCTCTAGGTGAAAAATTTTCCAGTGCATAGTCGGAACTACCTAGTAAATTTCTTAATTTTATCAGTTATAATTGTTTTTAAACCTGGCTATAAATCATAACTTAGATTTTTTTAAGTTCATAGCTACTTATGAGACATACTAATTCATTCTTGTGTTTAGGAAGTGTCGGTTAGGATTGAGGATAATTAGACTCAGTGTTTGTTCAATGTAGGTTCCCAAAAAGCTCTTTTGGTGATTCTGGTGCATAGCTAGTAATCTAATAGATAGTAATGTGACTTATAATAATATATACCACTTTTGGACTGAAATACTTCAAATAGAAATGTATGTGATTTTTTTGGTTTTAAATATTTTATTTTATTATTTTTATTTTACGTGTATGAGTGTATTGCCTGCATGTATTTAAGTGCACCCATGTCATATAATGCTCATGGAGGTTAGAAGAGGGCTTCAGATACCCTGGAATTGGAGTTAGGGATGGTTGTTATCCGCCAAGTAGGTTCTGAGGACCGAACCTGGGTCCTCTACAAGAGCAGTCAGTGCTCTTAACTGCTGAGCCATCTCTCCAGCTCCAGAAGTGTGTGGTTTTTAAGACATAGAAAGGGAAAGGGCTTGCTAATTATATGGTACATGATGGCAAAACTGGGATCCACTATTTGCCCCAGGTCTGTCGCAAGAGCTGAAAACAGCATTTATGGCCTGTGTTGGTAATATATATGTAGGATGGAATTAACAGATGGACTCCTATTTCATGTGACAAGTTAGACAATTTGTATTTTTAACTCTAGCTTTTTTTTTTTCCCTGTAGTGAAAGTTCATGTATTTTCTTCTTTATACAATAATAGCCCCACTTACTTTGGACCTAGAACTAAGAGGCCTAATTGGTCCTTTATTTAGATTTCACAGTCATGTGCATATCAGAAAGTAGTGAGCATGGGACATACTGTGCTTGGGTACACTGTGGTTGTGGTCTGGTCATCATTGGTGAGTTCAAAGCTGATTATAAGGAAGAAGCATTTCAGGTGATTGACAATACTTAAGAACCATTCTAGTGTGAACTCCCTGAATACAGACTGTAGAACTTCTACCTTATTTTGACTACCTTTGTAAAGATGGAACATTTAATTTTAATTTGAATGGTAATTGTCTTGTTTTTTTTATTATAAATGACTCAACTTATTTCACCCAATTCTTATTTTTTAGTAGAGTTACAAACCCACTATATATTTTAAAATAACATTAGTCCTGAAAATAGCTTTCTAATTTCTAGCCCAGGGTCAAATGCAGTGAAAGAAAGCCTGCCAGTTCTTTGCTATTCATTTATTTTTGTTTTTGTAGTAGTATAATTCTGTAGTTTTGCCTCTCACATATTTAATACCATTAACTCATGAGAGTTTAGAAGCACATTATTAAGGTATTGTGACCACCTCTATGGCACACTGTGTGTTTCAGTCATGCCAGGACTAGGTTTGGATGGGAGACCTCTAAGGGGAATCTGGAAAGCACTGCCGCAGTATCCTCAAAGAAGATGGAGAACAGCAGTACCATGGAATTCGAAATTCTAATTCTGAAACTTTTTCTAAGATCTTAGATTTTTTCCCACTTGCCTGAAAACCAATATTTTATTCATCAGATTTTTTTCTCCGAAAATATGTGTGCTCCATGACTCATGAATGAAGCAGCAGTTATTCTGACTGGCTCTTCCAAAACTCACATGACCAAAGACAGAGTATCCATCTTCTGCATCAATGAAAGCAAAGTGCTTTTTCCCCCTTATTCTTTCTGTGTGGTTAGTGTCAGGATTGCCCTCACTTCTTCCTGTGGGTTTTCCCCTACATTTAGTTGACACCATTTTAGAAATACACCTCTGGAGCCTTTGTCTCCACAGAGACCTATTGCAGGTATCCTGAAAAGAAAGAAAATTACTTGTATTTCTTGTTCTCTGAAGATATACAAACCCAGTAGATCATTACTTGCCTTCCCTCTGTCCTCCCTGAGTTGGGGATAATTGGCTTGTTATTATTAGACACTATTATGGTTATTATTTTCATTTCAAAAAGACTTGAAGACATACAGTTCAGGGCCACAAAGGAAAGGCACACTCAGACAGATGCATACCTCCTGCTGGTAGACAGAGTCAGTATCTGAACTTTTTACTGAGACTTAAAAATATGTTGAGTAATGAAAAATTCCATCACAAACCATCAGAATTTAGGGTGTTTTTTAATGTTTTTATCATTGTAAATGCCAAAAGTTGTAAATTTGCAAAGACCATTATCAATTTGGCAGTCACATATTGTAGATACTTCATGTTCTAAAATCAGATCTTTATTCTCATTATTTCAAAAGCTGTGTTTTCATTTTCCTGCACAGACACATTAAAAAAAAAAAACAAAAAAAAACTGGCAATGACTCCTGTTCACAGTTAATTCCTGCAGACAGACTTTGCCCATTGGGGGTCTCCACTTACCTAAAGTGGCTTTGAATGTCTGACATTGACTTTGGAAAATACAGAAATGCAAAATTTATGTGGGCCATTTCTTGGCTTCTGTATTTTGTGGATTACACAAGATGACATTCCTACGGGCTACAGTAAAGGTCATTGAAGCATTCTGTGTTGGGGGGAGGGGGTTAGTGTGTGGTTTGTTCACGTGCATGTGCATGTGGAAGCCAGAGGTTGATATCAGGTGTCTTTCCTGGATTGCTCTCCATCTTTACTTTTTTAACCAAATCCCCTCTTTGAATCTGAAGTCCATTCATTTGGCTAGACTGACTCACCAGTGAGCTGCAGATATCTGTCTTTCTTGTCCAAAATGGGGCTATGTGGAATCAGGGTCAAAATAAATAAATAAATAAATAAATAAATAAATAAATAAATAAATAAATAAATAATAAATAAGATGAAAACAAAATCTATAGCTAATACTATTACTTTTAAATGGGCACGGGAAACATGGTTTACCTGAAAATAAGCAAAATATGAGTCTTCTAAAACCCACTAGTCTTTTGAATCAGTTATAAGCACTGCTCAAACAGATGCCATGTGGGGTCAAGGGGTAATGCCCTCACCTTTCTTATAGGAAAGTTGTGATACAACCTCAAATTTCCAGAGGTTGAATGTCATATGTTTGGGTTATATGTTGTAATTTTTACACCATGAATTATATGGCTACATAAATTATAAATACTCAAAGGTATTTCTCATCTATTATAAAATAATTAATGTTTACAACTATGGTTTTTAAAGTTGATTCATGGTAACTTAGCAACATGAAATTCAGTGGAGTTAATTTTATACCATATCTTAACAGAAGTCTAAATTGGACAATACAATTTCCAATTAAACTGTTAATTGTGTCATTTAGTACTGACATTTAGGGTAGAGGCCCAGCAGAGAGAGAATGAAGTAGGCATAGAATTGATAGTACATTCCAACTGATACTTCTCTAAATATGAATTCCATGACATCCTTACTAGTTTTTTATTGTTGTTGTTTTCTTTGTTTCTTTTGTTTTGTTTTGTTTTTTGAGACAGAGTCTCCTTGTAGCCCCAGCTTCAAGAGACCAGGCTGGCCTTGATCTCACAGAGCTCCACTTGCCTCTGCCTTGGAGTGCTTGGATTAAAGGCACCACCATGCCTAGCCCTTATTTGTATTTTTAAAAATATCTCAATATTATGATTGCAAGTCAGATTTTTTTAATTATAAAATTTTCTACATGTACATTTTATGTTGAAATAAAGCAATTGCCTAAGTAGTCCAAAATTTCGAAGATACTTGGAATAAAATCCAAAGGCCCACATAGTCCAGCTTTTAAGGAGCTCCAGACTCTATCATGTATTTTTCTCCTTGCCCACTCTCCTCTTGGCCTTGCTATGAAATCATTAAATTTAGCTCTATGTTAAAGTCTCTGAAATACATAAAGAGTGAATTCATTTGTTTTTTTTTTGTTTTTTTTATTTACACAAATAATTTATTGAGAATTTCATACATGTATATAAGGTGTTTTGATCAAATCCATGACCACTTCCTCCTCTCCAAATCCTCCCATATTTCCCCATCACTTTTTTTCTGATAACATCATATACTCTTTTTTATTCTTTGATTGATTGATTGATTTTTATGGGGCTTTTGGCTACTCTAACATTCCCCCCTCTGAAGAGGTAACACTAAAATCTTTTAAGGATTAGATACAAGCTCCAAAATTTTTTGACATTTTTGGCCTTTGGAACAGAGTATGTTGATAATAGTCCCAAGGACATTTTGACTTTTAGCCAAGAAACTGGCTACTTTTCTTTGGGGTCTTTTTACCCTAACTGCCTAGCCAATTCCTACCTCCTATTCTTATCATAGTATC